AACGACGAGAACCGCTTCGACATGTGGATTCGGTCATCTACCGTATTCTGGGCGAGAGGTGACATGGATTCGTGGCGGGGAACACATGGATTCTTGGCTTGTCACGCCTGCGTGGCAGAATGGCGATCGACCAATCGCGGTAAGCCACACGTGCATAACCCAACTGGTTGCGTTCGGATAAGGGCCGAATATTCGCGAGTTTTGTTGTAGTGCTTGCTTGAGATTATGTTGGGTAGGTTTAGTTGGCTACTTAGGGTAACAAGCTGCGTGGAAGCCACTTGCAAACTTCTAGAAAAAGCGTGTAGGCGCTAGGTTACTGCTTGGTTTTCGAGAAAGCCAAGCAGTAACCAAAAAGCCCAAAAAATCTTGGGCTCATGCGTTTTTCTTCCATTCCTTGCAAGCACCCTTTGCTCTGGTGAGCAGTCGCGAAATTCGTGGTAGCCTCGCTGTTTGTCCCAATTTTCAGTTCGGTGTCTCGTACGTATCGATTAGCGCCATGCTGTCCTGGCCACTCCCCACCGACTTTCTTTCGAACGCTCGCATTTTCAGTTCATCTCTCTCGTTATGTTGCTTGTTGCTATCTCCTGAAGATCATTTCAAAATCATTTTATTTTAGGGTAAAGAAGGTTGAAATGAGGATCGTTTTCTTGTTGACGACGTTGTTTCTGGCCGTTTCCGCTGATGGAGATGTGTTGGCATACACGGACAGCAACTTTGATGAACTTATCAAGTCGCATGAAGTGTCATTAGTGAAGTTCTACGCTCCTTGGTAAGTTTGAATTAGTTTTCTTGCAAGTAACTCAAGCAATCTTCTAAAAAGAGCACAGGCGATATTCCAAGTGTTACGCAAACTCTCGTTGCTGCACGGATTTAGGACTATAGTGCTGGGAAATGACCTCATAATGGTTTTCCGCATGGTCTTGATCTTTAGAGCGTTCAGGCTTCGGCTAGGTAGTAATTGTTTCTTAATCATGTAAGCAAAAGCTAGGAGCAGGATGTCGTCGGGAAGCTGCGTGTGCAAGGTAGCAAATTATCGGTTTCCAGTAGAAATGGTAACTTCCATTCCTTTTCTCCATCATCATTGGTTGTACTTACACGCTGCTTCGTCGTATTGCTTGAGTCAATTGCGACCAAAGTTATGGAACCAGAGGAAAATACCGCTCATATCTATTTTCCAAACGTGCAATACTCAAGCATTGTCTTTACTTTCGGTGGTAATGTGAAACCATCTGCTCCGTCTGCTTTTGCTCTGTTTAAGCTCTTTAGTTGATTTGAAGTGGTTATAGAAGTTCAAATATTAGAGTGAAGGAAATTTACGATGCAGTGATTCCAAGTAAAAAGTGCATCTAGCCCCAAACATCTAAAGGAATACGCGCACGTATATTTGAAGTCTCCAGAATGTCCGCATGGTTTCCGTTTACTAAGTGTTGATGTGAAATGCTATGACCTACCTTGTTTGACGGATAAATTGCTCTACAGAGTCTTATTGAGGCACTCATTATACTTGCTGAACAAAAAATATAAAATTGCTGTTTAGTTCAATCTTTTCCCGATGCGGGTTGTTAGTAATGTGAGCTATAAAATGTACAAGCCGTTAGGAAATCGTCAGTAGTTTTATCCCGTGCTCTGTTTTTTTGGTATGGTGATAGTTAGGATATTTGCAATATTGGATATTCGTCCTTATTGTAAACGTAGGGCTTATGCCATAAATTTCAACCAGTTGTAGAGATGACTTGTTATTGTTAATGAACACTGCCCTCGGAAGTCCTTTGCTATTAGGATGATTGAAACTTTGAATGGAAATTAATCGTTTAGGGTAGTCCCTTTTACCAGGAAGCAGAAAAGGGCTCTTCTTAACTTATTCGAGCAGTTTTTGTAATGGGATATTTCTTCCTTCAGTATTAGATTTTGAAGAGTCTACTTATGTGGAAAAATTAGTGAAGTGACGTATAACTTAAGATATATGAAGGTTCTTGTCGTTTTCTACTGATAACAAGTGACTATGAACGGTGGAAGCGCTTCTGTATGAGTGAAATAGATTTTGTCTTGAAGAGTCTC